CTCTCTCTCTCTCTCTCTCTCTCTCTCTCTCAATTTAATTACATGTGGTATATTAGAAGTTTAAACACTAGTGAATACGAGATACACCTCTAAAATATAAATGATGACCATGTTCCAACATTTAGTATACTCGTTATACTTATACCTAAATGTAATTTAAATTTGCAAAAAAAAATCTATGTATTAAACGATAGTTTATGCGGTTTTTATACACGAGACGAGAAATTAATGAATTGGAAAAATAGGATTTTCTTCTCTATTACAACCGTAAACAACGAAATCAAATAACTATTCAAATTCAGCAAACATTCAAATGGTTTCGGAAAACTATTTGCTGGCAATAAATGCAAACAAATATTTTCCTTAATATGAATTTAAGTCCACAAAAAACTGCTGATAAATGCCTGCAAACAAAAACACAGCGAAAACAAATGCGAGGAATGATAAGCAGAGGATGTCTTTTTTCACTAAATTTAAGTTAAGAAATAAATATAAGTACACAAAATGTTTATTTTATTATTTTTACATTTCTTAGACTCAAAATTCATTTCTCTATAATATTATTTTTGCATAACAAAATACTTTAAAACGCTAAACGATTAAATGATGTTTAAGAGAGAATTTTATGTCACAAAATGGTTATTAGAAAACATGAAATACAATAATAAATTATATGAAAGAATTATTAATGTTATTATTCTTGATATTGAGACAAATCTGCTGTAAAGACACGACTTATGGTACAGTCGCCCGGCTATGGAGAGGGAGAGGCAATGTATTAACACATATACAGACAGATAGACATATCATTAATCTTACGTCCGGTGCGACACCGATGAGAGAGGACGCGTGTCCGTAGAACTCCTCTTTCAATGATATTACGATACATTGAAACGACGACTCAGTCTTCTCTCGTATGAAACGCGCGACCTATCGATCCGATCAATACGTTAGACATTAGCACACAATTAATGACACAAATCAATGGACAGTCAGTGCATACCTTTCCAATGTTGGTGTTGTCGAGCGCGGCGTCGATCTCGTCCAACACGAAGAACGGCGCCGGTTTGTACGAGTGTATGGCGAACAGCAGCGCGAGTGCGGCCACCGTTTTCTCACCACCGCTAAGATTGCTCATCGGTTGGAAGCGTTTGCCCGGAGCCACACAATTGTAGTTAATGCCCTCGAGATACGGCTCTTCCGGGTTCTCCGGCACGAGGAATGCCTGAGCGCTGGCGTTATTGGTCAGCGACTTGTAGATGGAATCGACGCGTTGGGCCACCGCTTCGAAACACACCGTGAATTCGCGCAATCGATTCCTCTTAATCTCTTCGAACGCCATTTTGGCTTTCTTTGAGTCGAGCCTTAAATTATTCACTTCAGAGTCCGTTCCCTTCAGTCTCTCCTTTACGTCTTCGAGTCTATCATTGAATACGTAAAAAAACATTGCAAATCAAAGCAATCCTATGATTATCGCTCACAACAACAACAATCACTACTTACTTGTCAATAGCTCTCATGTTTGGCGCTTGTATTTTACGCAATACTTCCCGTTTGCTATTAATCTCTGTCTGCATTTCGCTCTCTTTCTTTTTGATGGCATCCGAATCGTTCATCTGTTAAATACAATTCAAACCATTAATAAAAACACAATTAATACGAGAGAGAAATATAAAAAAGAGAGAAACAAACATTTTTGAGACTATTCTTCAGTATAGAAAAGTCTGGTTTGAGATTAGAATCGCTTTCATATGAGCGCTGAGTGGAGGGTCCGTCGTCGTCCTCGTCTTCGTCGGCGTTCCCATTGGTCTCGCCGTCGTTATTGTTGGCGCCGCCGGCGGCGATGTCGTTGAGGTCACCGGAAACGAGCGGCAATTCAATGCACTCCATCTTACAGTGCAAAAGGATCGCATGTCTGTCCGCTTTCTTCGACTCGAGGCGGCACTCGATCTGCATTAAGGACTTCTGCGCGGCCGACAGCTCCTTCTGAATGCTGGAGAGGCCTCTCTTCACTTCCGTGATCTCGTCCTCCACTGAATCGCATTCAGTCTTTTTGGAGATCTTGTCGTTCTTGAGTTCCTCCACTTTCTTCATCTCCTCTTCGATGCCCTGCATCTCCTTCTTCTCGGTCTCTCGCGCTGTCGACAGATTCTTCTCCTCTTCGGAGACCACTCTCTGCCATCGCTTCACGTTCTCATTCGTGTCTTTGCTTCGTTCGTACGCCAGACGACTGGACAGCGAGTTCTTCTCGTTCTCGTATTTCAGGCGAATCTTTTCGTTCTCTTGAGTCGCTTTGTTCTGTCGCTCTTCGTATTGGCGAATGTTATCGACGCCCAAATCCTCGCAGAACGACCCAAAGATGGTGTCTTCCACCGAATTCATCGCTTCCCGAATTTCGGTGATCTTCACGTCTCGCGACTCCATTCGCGATGAGATCTCTTTGATTTGCGGGTCAAATGACTTCAACTTCGCGTCCAATTGTTTGATCTCTTTCTTAAAGTCTTCGTTATTCTTCTCGGTTTGGGTTTTGTCGCTCCGACAGTACTTCAGACGCGTGTCTAAGCCTTTGATTTGACTATTAATGACCATAAGGTCGCTCTCTTTGCGCGTCTTCTTCAGCTCCTCCTTCAGACTTTCAGCCAATTTCTCCTTTTGATACTTAAGTGAATGCAACTCTTTTTCGTCCCAACGACGGGCCCTCTTCTCGAGGTCAGCGCTTCCGCCGGATATGAAGCCGCACTTCTGATAGAAAGTGCCGTCGAGTGCCACCGCGTCGTAACGCTTGCCGTCTCCCAAATCGAAGGCCACGAGATTCGCGTCTTCGGCCGTCTCGCACACCAACGCGTTGTTCGTGGCGTAGAGTACGGCCCGTTTGATGGCCGGCGGGTCGTATTTGAGCACATCGTACAACATCTTCACATTCCTCGGGTGCTGTATATTCCTGAGCCGTTCCTTCACTTGTTTCACTTCGATGTAGTCGAGCGGAAGGAAGGTCTCGGGTTCGAGCATTTGCTCCTTTAAGTACTGAATGCACTGCCGGCCCGTCCTCTCGGAGTCCACAATAATGGCGTTCATGTTTTTGCCCATCACTTTAGTGATCGACATGTTGTACCGCTTGTGAATCGGTTTACACATGTTTAGCAGCCGATCGAAGACTCCCGGGTAGAGCTTCTTCAGGTTGTCCACCACTTCCGCCTTCTTCTTACGCCTCTCGTCCTCATGTCTGTCCACTTTGGCGTCGCCTAACTCGCGGTTAATCGACTCGAGCTTATGTGTGATGGACTCGACCTGTTCTTTGCTCGAGTTGACGATCGACTCGATCTCCACCTTCTTTTTGGTCAAGTCTTGGAGATTGGTTTCACTCACTTCCAGATTGTCGCACAATTTGGTGATCCGTTTCACGTTTTCGTCCAAATTGTTTTGCAGGACTCGTGTGCGCGACTCGATGTCCATCTTTTTGCGGTTCTCGTTCTCGTTCCTGTCCTGATCGGCCTTCTGTTCCCTTTCCAGCGAATCCAAGTCTTTCATGTATTTGGATGAGAGTCGGGCCGCCTCTTCCTTCAGCCGATTGTATTCCTTCTTCTGTCCCTCTTTCAGCACGACATCCGTTTTGTGTAACTCTTTCTCTTTGGTCATCTCCTGCTCCCACTTGTCGTACTCCTTCTTCACCCGATTGTAGTCCTCTTCCAACTCTTTGATAGTGTTTTGGTGGTTGTCGTGAGCCTTAATGGCTGAGGCCTTAGACTTCTTCGCGGTCTCCAACTTCTTCTCGATATGGGAAGCGTTCTCTTTGGCCTTTATATACGTCGGCCGCTTCTTATTCAGGTTGAGCTCCACGTCGCGGATCTTGCGGTCGATTCCCGACAACTCTTTGCTAATTTTGGCCAAATTTTGCTTCTTATTCCTCACTTCTGTGTCGATCTTCTCCTTGTTTTTGATATGTTTGTCCATAAGATTGTCGCACAATTTGGTGATCCGTTTCACGTTTTCGTCCAAATTGTTTTGCAGGACTCGTGTGCGCGACTCGATGTCCATCTTTTTGCGGTTCTCGTTCTCGTTCCTGTCCTGATCGGCCTTCTGCTCCCTTTCCAGCGAATCCAAGTCTTTCATGTATTTGGATGAGAGTCGGGCCGCCTCTTCCTTCAGGCGATTGTATTCCTTCTTCTGTCCCTCTTTCAGCACGACATCCGTTTTGTGCAACTCTTTCTCTTTGGTCATCTCCTGCTCCCACTTGTCGTACTCCTTCTTCACCCGATTGTAGTCCTCCTCCAACTCTTTGATAGTGTTTTGGTGGTTGTCGTGAGCCTTAATGGCTGAGGCCTTCGACTTCTTGGCCGTCTCCAACTTCTTCTCGATATGGGAAGCGTTCTCTTTGGCCTTTATATACGTCGGCCGCTTCTTATTCAAGTTGAGCTCCACGTCGCGGATCTTGCGGTCGATTCCCGACAACTCTTTGCTAATTTTGGCCAAATTTTGCTTCTTATTCCTCACTTCTGTGTCGATCTTCTCCTTGTTTTTGATATGTTTGTCCATATCCTTGCGTTTGCGGTCCATATCCTCCTGAAGCTCTTCGACGTCGTCCTGAATGTGATAGAGTTTGAAGAGTTGCAAATCGATCTGCACTTTGTTCAACTCGTCCCTCAGGTTCTGGTACTTCTTGGCCTCATTGATCTCTCCCTGCGCCTCCTTCTTCTCGGCGGCGATGCCCTTCTTCTTCACATACATGTGATGCAACTCCTCCTCCGAGCGATCCATTCGTACCTTTTTGTTCACGTAATCCTCTTTGAATTCGTTGCTGCGGGAGATCTCCTCGAAGAGGCCGGTGATCTCGCGGGGGTTCTTCATGGCGATCGACTCGACCGCTCCCTGATATACGAGAAAGTTGCGGGCCTTCACATTGATGCCCAACTTCTCCAATCGGGTCGCGTAGTCCTGTTTGGAGACCACGTTCTCGTCGATGCGGTACTCAGAGCTCGAGCCCAACACCAGCCGCTGGAAGCGTGTGATACGGCCCGAGTCCTGATCCCTGTAGACCAGCGTCACAGACGCCTGATTGGAGACGGGCCGCCCGATGGACGCGCCGTGGATCAGCTCCGATAGCTTCTTGACGCGCAAATTGTTGGTCTTCTCGCCCAACACGAAGCTAATGGCGTCCATGAAGTTTGATTTGCCGGAACCGTTGGGACCGATGACAGCCGTGAACTGTTTCAACGGTCCGATCTGTTGCTGACCCGAATAGGACTTGAAGTTATCCACTTCCATGTACTCCAGAAAGCCCGGCATCGCGACTGACACACGTGTGTGGCTTCAGCTGATCCAACAGGTGATAATCAGACACGCGTTAAGACGACAGACGATCGGCGGCCACACGAGTCGTGTTAAGCGATGTTAACGACGGCCGACACCACCGATGGCTGGGAAGCGCGCGGAAGCGATGGAAGTGATGACAGCGTGTGAATAGTATGAATGGCAGACTTAGCGGTGATGTCTGGGGAACACGGGTTGACTCTCGTCTGGTCGTCAACTCTTCAGCCGTTAATGTTTTGATTGACAGACAAATGGCGGCAAATGAGTTAACGCATGCGCGCACTGACTGTCACGCCATACGTTTGGTCCCTTTTTATGTCAATACACTTCACGTCCATTTCAACGCATTTCCTATACATAGAAAAGGGCCCAAAGGGTCGGACACCCGATGTTTTGCCATACAGTGTATTGAACTCTCGTATGTATTGTATTGTCAAAAGTGTTTGTGTTTTGCATTTGAGTCTAATTTTGTGTTTTCAAAACATAAACTATTTATTTATTTTTGTTAATACTTTTGGTTGTGTTTTGTTTTGTCTGAACATTAAATCCGATCACTAATTATGATATGATATACGATGTGATCGTCGGCTCCAACTCTTCGCGTCTCTCCTCCTCTCGTCAGCCAAACCGCAGACACCTCTTCGTCGCCCCAAACGGCGCCTCCGATGACCACAACTCGTGTCCGCCACTCGTTGTTGACATTGAATCGCATCCAAAGACGTCTTCGTCCAGACATTAGACAAACAATCGGTGCCAACACAGGAAGTGGTGGTCGACCGACACTTTGCCGACCAATTGGTGCCCAAAGTATTGGCCGCTCAATACACAGCTCAAGACAGGTGTCGGGCGTTGTGTTGAAGTGAGTGGTTGTCACCGATGAACGACCTGATCGGCGGCGAAGAGCTCATTGGCGGCGACTGCGAGCGCAAGCAGTCGTCGGCGGCCGCGACGGCCGTTAACCACAAGTTCACACTTCAGGAGAGGATTGAGTTGATTAAGATCTTCTACAGCGGCAAGAGTTTGAAACAGACGGCGCGTGTGTTCGCCGAACGCCATCCCGATTGCGATCATTTGCCCACTTCTTCGGGTATCACACGACTGGTCAGGAAGTTTGAGACCACAGGTGAGAGTGAGAGCAATGGCTGATAGACACGACTCCTAGGCCGCAACTGATCCCCCTATTTGTATATTTGTTTACTCCGCCAATAGGTTCAGTGCTGGACAAGCGAATCCCCGGCCGTCCGAAGACCAGTCGCGTCCAATTGACGACCAAACAGTCGGAGCTGAGCGCATGTGAATACCCCGGCTGTCAGTACGTGAGTAACAAGAAGTGTATGGCTCGACACAAGTTGGTCCACAAGACTGAGCGTAACTTTGTGTGCGATTGGCCCGACTGTGACAAGCGATTCAAGTCCAGCCTGAGTCTGAAGAATCACCTGCGGATCCATTACGACGACAAGCGGTACGCGTGTAATTGGCCCGGATGTCAGTACCGGTGCGTCGATTCCGGTAATATTCGCAAACACAAGAAGATTCACGAGAAGCAGTTCCGCGGTCTCCTCAAGACATCCGACTTTCAGAATAAAACTGATCTGAAGATGAAATCCGACGGCAGTTCCGAAGAGAAAGAGGACAATAGTATCGACTTTTGAGACTCTCTTTTGTAAAATACTGTTTTTCTCTCTAATATTAAAACATAAGTATAGAATAAAAAAAACAACCAAAATTAGATAACAAACTGTTAAACAAAAAACGTAAGTAAAGTGTAAAGTAAGTCGAAAATTAGTTAATTAATATAATATTAATAAATATTTATTTTCTGTGTCTATTTATATTGAATGTCATATCATTTTATATACAAAAATTACTAAATATAATTGATTTAAGGAATTGACTGATAAATTGCTTGCGGAATACTATGTCTTACTGACAACAGAGAAGTTATGAACAGACGGTGAAAATTAGGTTAATTTAAATCATTTGCGAAACAATTTTATAGTTATAACGGCTATAAACATTAATTTACATTAATTTTGTGGTTTAATAATGAATTAATTAGTTTTAATAGAAATGTTCAAAATACACAAAATACTATATTCGTGTCAAGACATAAAGATATGGTTGAATACAAAATGAATGGCGAGAAATATGAATAAATATTTAAGTGAATGAATACAGAAACTCATCAATAGTTCCGTTAAAAGGATCGCAGATATTCTTAGCCCGCATTTGCAACAGTTGTCCAGTCGTTACGTCAATCTCACGGAAATCAAACGAATCGTTATCTTCACAGCAGTTCTCATACAATTGTCGGCTAAATGTCTTATTAATGGTTTCATTCAATTCAATGATAATAAACTGTTCGCTCGGATCTGATATCAAAAGATAACACGATATTAATAATAATGTAATTATCAATAATACAGTAGACTTAATAGTAATGATAGCATACCGGCTGAAGTGACATCAAACCCAAGTGTATCGGAATAAAGTATATTTGCGATAGTAATGGCCAATTGAGGGATGGGTTGAATACAAAGCATTGGTAGTGTGGGGTCGACACAAGCGTACAGACATTGAAGATCCTTATATCTGATTGTAATAATGCGTTGACCACTCGAGTCGCTATCATTTGGCAATACATTATGCAAATGAATGCCATCGTGTCACTTGTGATACATGGGCTATGATCGGAATGTAAACGGTTTTACATATGTTAATCGCCAATGACAGTCGCCTTTGAGGTGAAGACGACAGCTTTGTGAACAGAGGTTTAGAAATTTAAAGAAAAGCATTTCTTTGTATTTTTTCTCCGAATTCAACGCTTTTTCAACACTTTTTTCGAGTTTTGTTTTCAATTCTTTAGTTTGTGTTTCAATTCTTTTGGCTCTTTGTGTCGCAAAATTGCATTTCAATTTTCCATTTCTTTGTATTTTTTCTCCGAATTCAACGCTTTTTCAACACTTTTTTCGAGTTTTGTTTTCAATTCTTTAGTTTGTGTTTCAATTCTTTTGGCTCTTTGTGTCGCAAAATTGCATTTCATTTGCCATTCATTTCGGTCTTTCTTCAGGCCTTCAATGCAGTTGTGGTCATCGGTTATCGGACTCACAGTTAGACCACATGTTTGGCATGTTTTGTGTTGACATGTCTTGAGATGAGTGGACAGCGACTCCAATGGACACACTTCTGGACATCCGTTCCACTCGTAATCACATTTGATCTTCAATTTCTCTATCAATCCATTTATTCGCCGATTTTTATCCACAAAAACATTGCCTCCGATTATAACCGCATTGTTTTCATTGGTCTCACTTCGGGTCCGCTTCCTATTGACCAGTGATTGTCGACATTCGGGACACTCTTTGGTGGTCTGCGGTCTTGAGAGCCATTGATTGAGACACTCTTCACAGAAGGTATGTCCACATCGAGTGTCAACGGCTTTATCCAACACTTCCACACAAATACCACATTTGAAACCTTCGGCCAAAGACAACGCCTCTAAGACTGAGAGATCGGGAAAACGATTGCAATCAAAGCCAGGCATTGAATCAATGGATTAATTAAGTAATGGTTTTAATTGTAATTCAAATCAATTGTCAACAAAATAGTGTTTATGAATCACATGTTGTGACCAAACATTAGTTTTTCAAATTTTGGATCAAAATTAAAGTCCAATTTTCAATGATTCTGTCGTTCAGTCAATACGTCCTCTAAATGACGACAAGTTTTTGTCGAAACAAAAGTTTGCTTTTTAGTGAAACTATTTTTTATAATTTCATTTTTATTAACCATTTTTATTACAATCAAGTTATAACTGAATTGTTTAAAACAATTAAACCTAATACTAAACAATGAATACTAAAAATATAGATTTTTAAGTTTAGGAAAAATACACAACAAATATAAAGTGATTACAATATTTAATACTCAAACTTTTTCACATCGATTGATTCATAGCATTCTTTGCATAATTCTGTATATTCTGTGCAGTATTTAAGTCCATTATATTGTATTCAAACTTATTATAACGTCGATTATTTTTATCGCATTTCTCTCGCAATCGGGTTACAAATGTCTCATCGATTGCTTCTTTAAATTCAATGGTAATATACCGTTCGCTCGGATCTAATATAGAGATCAACTAAATATAATTCATATTCATTCATAGATATGGTTGGAGTAATGCTAACAAACCTTCAGAAATGACATCAAAATTAGGTGCTTTGAATTGTGGTGAAAATATAGTTAACGCCATTCTAATCAAATTGGTTTCACTAATACTCGGTTTAATACAAATCATTGGTAGTGAGGGGTCGACACACGCCTCCATATACTCCACCATATAATAGGATATTCTAAATGAATGGTTCGTTTTTGTACTACCATTTAGAATAACGTCTACCAAATGAATACACGTCTCCGTGAACTCAATAGAGCCAACACTTGCCCAATATTTGCCAAACATTACATAATTAGCGTTTAATGTAAACATAATCTTCTCTTCCAATATTGGTATAAACAGCGATGGCTTCAAAATCATAAAATTTTTTATCAAATCATTAGTCAAACTCTCGGGTCGACTCAATTTCGCCTCTAATATCGCAGAAATGTCTTTGAATTTCTTGACTTTTGTTTCCAGTTCTTTAGTTTTCATCACCAAATCTGTGTTCAAAGTCTCCATTTGTTTGCATTTCGACTCACACTTCACTGACTTTTCTTCAGATTTTGTGCAAATTGTCTCCAAATTAATCTTCATTTCTTTGGTCTTTTTTCTCAATAAATTGCATTTCTTTTGCCATTCTTTGTTTTTATTTTTCAAGCCTTCAATACAGTTGTGGTCATCACTACTCACACCAATGGTTAGATCACATGTTTGGCATATTCTGTATTGACATGTCTTGAGATGAGTGGACAACGACTCCAATGGACACACTTCTGGACATCCGTTCCTCTCGTAATCACATGTGATCTTCAATTTTTCTATCAATCCATTTATTCGTCGACTTCTATCCACCAAAATATTGCCTCCAATTATAACCGTATTGTTATCTTTGGGCCGCTTTCTTGTGGGCAACATTTCATGCCGACATTCGGGACACTTTTTTTTGTTTCGCGGTCTTGAGATCCATTGATTGAGGCACTCGTGACAGAAGGTATGTCCACATCGAGTGTCCACCGCTTTGTTCAACACATACAGACAAATACCACATTTGAAACCGTCGGCCAAAGCGGCCAACGATCCGCTGGTATCGAAATCGGGGAATCGGTTGCAATCAAAGCCCGGCATTGAATGTAAAGATGAGTTAAGTTATAATTTTGACTTAACTTTGATTTGAAATTCAAATTAATTGCAAACAAAACATGAGTTTTACGAGAGGTTCAGTCCATACAATGGGTACCTGCCTTTGGCTGCACTAACTTTATATCAAACTTCAATTGAAACTTCAAAAGTACGTATTAACACAACTTCTGTTATATAACAGGTTTATATTAATAGTGCAACGTTTGGCACAATTTATATTTTTTAATGATTTAATCGTTCAGTGAATACGACATTTAAATGGCGTTAAAATTTAGAGAAAACAAAGTTTTGTGACTTACAGTAACTTCTTTATTGTATTCATTAATTCGCCTTAATTTTGATTTAATTTTAATTATAGTTAAATATAAAATCATTAATAGTCTCTATAATATAATAATTATTAAAAAGTTGTTTCTGCTATATAGCTAGATTAGCTAGATAGACAATTACCATAAAAATGCTACAATTTCAGTTTTAACATTTAACGTGACTTCTATTTAAGCTAAATTATTTAAACTAAAAATTTAAGAATTAAAATTTTTTACATAGAGTTTTTAATAATAAACTCGGGTCACAACAAATTCAATATTCAACATAATTATACGACTTTTTATATATTACTTTTGTTTACTTTTTATGTTTATTTTTGAATTTATGTAACTTTCATTTTTCGCTTAATTCTTTTTAATCAATCTTTTTACATTGAAATGACATTTAATTTATGAAAATTGTAAAATAGTAATAATTTAAATTACTTATACTCATTTACCTAATTTTCTAATGTGAAAAACTTTATATTTATAAAGTAAATTAAACATGAAATTAGACATGATCGGTTCACATCTCGAGTCAGCGCTAATGTTATTAACTATGTAATTAATTTTGAAATAATATTAACAGGCTAAATAGATGTTGTAATTCTTATGCAATAACTTTTTAAATTATAACTAGGCTGACCAGATGTCCTCTTTTCAGAGGAATTTCCTCTATTTGGACTTCATTTGAGCACTCTCCTCTGAAATTCTTCTTTTATTTTTAAAAGAATTATTTAAAAAATCACTCAAATCTGCAATAAAATTAATGTAAAAAGTTGCATCCTCTTTTATCCTTTATTATTGCTAAAGATTTAGTAAAAGTTCCTCTTTTTGTGAAATTGGATCTGGTCACTCTAATTATAACTTATAATGTATTGAAGTTTTACGATATTATAACGTTTTCACAATTATGTCATTCAAATGATGCAATCATTATCTAATATAAACTTAACACAGGTTTGCATTCATTCATTTCAATCAATACAAAACTCTCTTAACGTTAAGTTTTTGCACACTTTTCGTGTAAATCATTTCAAATCACATTAAGCAACGAATTCAGTGATCAAATAAGTTGTCAAACTTATTGAGTATCTTGTTTATAACATTAATATTAAAATTGTCAATTGATTTATTATCGTTAACGATGGCAATGGCCATAAGTGCCGGTGAATTAACCGCTAATCAAAACGTCAATATATGGAAAATTAAGAAACTTATTAAAAGTCTAGAGTCGGCCCGAGGGTAGGCTTACAATCACTTTTGGGATCAAATCATTTCTATTATGATATTTCTTTGACATATAGTAACGGAACTTCAATGATATCACTGATAATACCGACTAATGGCCAGATATCTCGGGTGTCGAGGATGTTAGTGGACGAGTCGGGAACGGCCGCCAACATCAAGAGTCGCGTGAATCGGCTGTCCGTCCAGTCGGCGATCACTTCGGTTCAGCACCGGCTGAAGCTATACAGTCGAGTGCCGGCCAATGGACTCGTTATATACTGCGGAACAGTCATCACCGATGAGGGGAAGGAGAAGAAAGTGAACATCGATTTCGAGCCCTTTAAGCCCATCAATCGATCCCTTTATCTCTGCGACAATCGCTTCCACACCGAAAAACTATCGGAACTTCTGATCGAAGAAAACAGATTTGGATTTATTGTTGTCGACGGAAACGGAGCTCTTTTCGGCACTTTGGAGGGCAATAGCCGTCAAGTGATCCACAAGTTTGCCGTCGATTTGCCCAAAAAACACGGTTTGTTTGAATGAAACGTTTTCCCAAATGTAGTGAATTAATGGTATAATTGAAACGATAGGACGCGGCGGTCAGTCGGCGCTGCGCTTCGCACGTCTTCGGCTCGAGAAGAGACACAATTACGTCCGCAAAGTGGCCAAAGAGGCGACACAACTGTTTATCACTGAAAATAAGCCCAATGTCTCATGACTTGTATTGGCTGGAAGTGCGGACTTTAAGACCGAACTCAACCAATCGGAGCTCTTTGATAAGGTCTGACAGAAGATGACTATTTAATGCTTAACTATTTTGACACAAAATTAATCTATGATTACTTTTTTGTGTATTAACAGAGACTTCGGGCAAAAGTGGTAAAACTAGTGGACGTGTCGTACGGAGGAGAGAGTGGTTTCAACGAAGCCATCAATTTATGCGGTGAAGTGTTGTCTGGCGTTAAGTTCATCGAAGAGAAGAAACTAATGGATCGATATTTTAATGAGATATCTCAAGACACCGGCAAATACTGCTTCGGTGTTGAGAACACATTCACAGCGCTGGAGATGAGCGCCGTTGAGGTACTCATCGTTTGGGAAAACCTCGATATTATTCGACATGAGCTCAAGAATCCCAACACCGATGAGCGGAGGGTTCTTCACGTGACGCCCCGTCAGGAAACGGATCGCAAATTATTCGCAGATAACGAGACGGGCGTTGAGTGGGAACTATTGGAATCGATGTCTTTACTCGAATGGTTGGCAAACAATTACACAAAGTTTGGCGCAATTTTGGAGATTGTGAGCGACAGTTCTCAAGAGGGCTCACAGTTTGTCAAAGGTTTTGGTGGTATCGGAGCTATTCTTAGATATGCAGTCAATTTTCAGGCCATCGATGACGCTATCGATGAAGAATTGTACGAAGAATTACAAGAACTTGACATTTAAATAATTAACATTTTGCCCACACATTCAAAACGAATCGGTTTTAATTAAATTATGTATTGTTTGATAAATAAATTTTGAATGAATTAAAAAGTTTTATTTCAATGAATCCTTAAGTATTAATTATTGAGTTATAATGCAATTATTCAAAAAATATTTAATAACGATTTTGTATTCATATCTTATTTTTTTTGTTGGTTTTAATCTATTGTTTGACAATTTGTTTTTTGCATTCATTTCACATTTCATTCAGCTTTTAATCAATTAATTATATTATAATTATTTATAAATAAAACTGTGTCTATTTATATTGAATGTCATATCATTTTATATACAAAAATACCTAAATATAAATGACTTAAGAAATTGATTGATAAATTGCTTGCGAAATACGATGTCTCACTGACAACAGAGAAGTTATGAACAGACAGTGAAAATTAGGTCAATTTAAATCATTTTCGAAACAATTTTATAGTTATAACGGATATATTTTACATCAATTTTGTGGTTTAATAATGAATTAATAAGTTTTAATAGAAATGTTCAAAATACACAAAATACAGTACTATATTCATGTCAAAACATAAAGATATAGTTGAATACAAAATGAATGGTGAAAAATATGAATAAATATTTAAGTGAATGAATACAGAAATTCATCAATAGTTCCCTTAAAAGGATCGCTCGTATTCTTAGCCCGCATTTGCAACAGTTGTCCAGTCGTTACGTCAATCTCACGGAAATCAAACGAATCGTTATCTTCACAGCAGTTCTCATACAATTGTCGGCTAAATGTCTTATTAATGGTTTCATTCAATTCAATGATTATAAACTGTTCGCTCGGATCTGATACCAAGAGATAACACCATATTAATAATAATGTAATCATCAATAATTAAGGCTAGGAATGATATTTTAAATGTATATTTCAACATGATTCATTTGTGAGATTTTACATTAAAAGTATTAGATTAAGGTGCAAAACATACAAAATTACACTTTAATATATAGTTTTTTGTACCAAAAATGTACTAAAGTTTCAGCCTTATCAATAATACAAGACTTAATAGTAATGATAGCATACCTAATGAACTGACATTAAACCCAAATGTGTTAAAATTGAGTGTCTTTGCGATAGTAATGGCCAATTGAGGGATGGGTTGAATACAAAGCATTGGTAGTGTTGGGTCAACACAAGCGTACATACATTGGAGATCCTTATATCTGATTGTAATAAGGCGTTGACCACTCGAGTCGCTATCATTTGGCAATACATTATGCAAACCAATGCCATCGCCAGTGAACACTATGTACCCGATACTAGCCTTACATTTGCCAAAATGTATACAATTAGCGGTTACTGTCAGCGGAAACTCCACTTCTGCTGTCGAAACACTTGTCTCCAAATCTTTAAATTTCTTTTCACGTTATTAAATATTTTTTGAATAATTGCATTATAACTCAATAATTAATACTTAAGGATTCATTGAAATAAAACTTTTTAATTCATTCAAAATTTATTTATCAAACAATACATAATTTAATTAAAACCAATTCGTATTGAATATCTGTGGGCAAAATGTTAATTATTTAAATGTCGAGTTCTTGTAATTCTTCGTACAATTCTTCATCGATAGCGTCATCAATAGCCTGAAAATTGACTTCATATCTAAGAATAGCTCCGATACCACCAAAGCCTTTGACAAACTGTGAGCCCTCTTGAGAACTGTCGCTTACAATCTCCAAAATTGCGCCAAACTTTGTGTAATTGTTTGCCAACCATTCGAGTAAAGACATCGATTCCAATTGTTCCCACTCAACGCCCGTCTCGTTATCTGCGAATAATTTGCGATCCTTTTCCTGACGGGGAGTCACGTGAAGAACCCTCCGCTCATCGGTGTTGGGATTCTTGAGCTCATGTCTAATAATATCGAGGTTTTCCCAAACGATGAGTACCTCAACGGCGCTCATCTCCAGCGCTGTGAATGTGTTCTCAACACCGAAGCAGTATTTGCCGGTGTCTTGAGATATCTCATTGAAATATCGATCCATTAGTTTCTTCTCTTCGATGAACTTAACGCCAGACAACACTTCACCGCATAAATTGATGGCTTCATTGAAACCACTCTCTCCTCCGTACGACACGTCCACTAGTTTTACCACTTTTGCCCGAAGTCTCTGTTAATACACAAAAAAGTAATCATAGATTAATTTTGTGCCAAAATAGTTAAGCATTAAATAGTAATCTTATGCCAGACCTTATCAAAGAGCTCCGATTGGTTGAGTTCGGTCTTAAAGTCCGCACTTCCAGCCAATACGAGTCATGAGACATTGGGCTTATTTTCAGTGATAAACAGTTGTGTCGCCTCTTCCGCCACTTTGCGGACGTAATTGTGTCTCTTCTCGAGCCGAAGACGTGCGAAGCGCAGCGCCGACTGACCGCCGCGTCCTGTCCTTTCAATTATACCATTAATTCAATACATTTGGGAAAACATTTCATTCAAACAAACCGTGTTTTTTGGGCAAATCGACGGCAAACTTGCGGATCACTTGACGGCTATTGCCCTCCAAAATGCCGAAAAGAGCTCCGTTTCCGTCGACAACAATAAATCCAAATCTGTTTTCTTCGACCAAAAGTTCCGATAGTTTTTCGGTGTGGAAGCGATTGTCGCAGAGATAAAGGGATCGATTGATGGGCTTAAAGGGCTCGAAATCGATGTTCACTTTCTTCTCCTTCCCCTCATCGGTGATGACTGTTCCGCAGTATATAACGAGTCCATTGGCCGGCACTCGACTGTATAGCTTCAGCCGGTGCTGAACCGAAATGATCGCCGACTGGACGGACAGCCGATTCACGCGACTCTTGATGTTGGCGGCCGTTCCCGACTCGTCCACTAACATCCTCGACACCCGAGATATCTGACCATTAGTCGGTATTATCAGTGATATCATTGAAGTTCCGTTACTATATGTCAAAGAAATATCATAACAGAATTGATTTGATCCCAAAAGTGATTGTAAGCCTACCCTCGGGCCGACTCTAGACTTTTAATAAGTTTCTTAATTTTCCATATCTTGACGTTTTGATCAGCGATTAATTCACCGGCACTTATAGCCATTGCCATCGTTAACGAGAATAAATCAATTCACAATTTTATTATTGATGTTATAAACAATAGACTCAAAATGTTTAACAGCTTATTTAAGCGGACACTGAAATTGTTGCTTAATTTGATATGAAATGATTTACACAAAAAAGTATGCAAAACCTTAACGTTAAAAGAGTTTTGTATTGATTGAAGTGAATGAATGCAAACCTGTGTTAAGTTTACGATATATTAGATAATGATTGCATCATTTGAATGAAATAATTGTTAAAACGTTATGATATCGTAAAACTTCAATACATTATAAGTTATAATTTAATAGATTATTGCATAACAATTACAACATCTATTTAGCCTGTTAATATTATTACAAAATTAATTACATAGTTAATAACATTAGGGACTCGGATATGAACCGATAATGTCTTATTTCATGTTTAATTCACTTTACAAAAAAAAAGTTTTTTACATAAGAAAATTAGCTTAATTAATACTGTATAAGCAATTTAAATTATAACTATTTTACCAACTTCATAAATTAAATGTTATTTTAATGTAAAACAATACTGATTAAAAAGAATTAAGCGTAAAATGAAAGTTATATAAATGCAAAAATAAATATAAAAAGTAAAAGAAAGTAATATATCAAAAGTCGTATAATTATGTTGACCATTCAATTTGTTGTGACCCGAGTTTCTTATTGAAAACTCGATGTAAATATTTTAATTTATTTGAGTTTAAATGATTAGTAAAAGTCACGTTAAATGTTAAAACTGAAAAATTGTTGCATTTTTATGGTAATTGTCTATCAAATAGCAGAAACAACTTTTTAATAGAGACTATTAATGACCTTATATTTAACTATAATTCAAGTTAAATTCAAATTAAGTATAATTAATGAATACAATAAAGAAGTTACTGTAAGTCACAAAACTTTGTTTTCTCCAAATTTTAACGTCATTTAAATGTCGTATTCACTAAACGATTAAATCATTAAAAAATACAAATTGTGCCAAACGTTGCACTATTAATATACACCTGTTAGATAACTGTTAGAACTTATAACACAAGTTTGTAACACATATTAGTTTCAATTGAAGTTTGATGTAAAGTTAGTGCAGCCAAAAGTAGATACCCATCGTATTGACTGTAAAAATAGTTTTTGTTTGCAATTGAGCTAAATTTCAAATCAAAGTTAAGTCAAAATTATAACTTAACTCATCTTTACATTCAATGCAAGGCTTTGAGTGCAACCGATTCCCCGATCTCGTGACCAACGGATCGATGGCCGCTTTGGCCGACGGTTTCAAATGTGGTATTTGTTTGTATGTGTTGAACAAAGCGGTGGACACTCGATGTGGACATACCTTCTGTCGCGAGTGTCTCAATCAATGGCTCTCAGAACCAGAGACCAGCAGAAAATGTCCCGAATGTCAACAATTGTTGAGAAGTGTGACCGGAAAGCGGTCCCGAAATGCGGTTATAATCGGAAACAATATTTTGGTGGATAAAAATCGCCGAATAAATGGATTGATAGAGAAATTGAGGATCAGATGTGATTACGAGCGGAACGGATGTCCAGAAGTGTGTCCTTTGGAGTCGTTGTCCACTCATCTCAAGTCATGTCAATACAGAATATGCGAAACATGTGAACTAACTATTGGTGTGAGTAGTGATGACCACAATTGTATCGAAGCCCTGAAAAATAAAAACAAAGAATGTGAAAAGAAATGCGATTTATTAAGAAATAAGACCAAAGAAATAAAGATTAAACTCAAAGAATCGGAAGAAAAGTCACTGAATTGTGAGTCGAAATGCACAGAATTGGTGATCAAAACTAAAGAATTGGAAAGAAATCTCAAGAAATTCAAAGAAAAGGCTACGATATTAGAGGCGAAATTGAGTCGACCCGAGAATTTGACTAATGATTTGATAAAAAATTTCAAGAGTTTGAAGCCATCGCTGTTCACATCAATATTGGAGGATAAGCTTATGTTAACACTAAACGCTAATTATGTAATGTTTGGCAAATGTTTGGCAAGTGTTGGCTCTATTGAGTTCACTGAAACGTGTATTCATTTGGTAGACGTTATACTAAATGGTACTACAAAAACGAACCATTCATTTAGAATATCCTATTATATGGTTGAGTGTCTGGAGGCGTGTGTCGACCCCTCCCTACCAATGATTTGTATTAAACCGAGTATTAGTGAAACCAATTTGATTAGAATGGCTTTAACTATATTTTCACCACAATTCAAATCACCTAATTTTGATGTTATTTCTCAAGGTTTGTTAGCATTACTCCAACCATATCTATGAATGAATATAAATTAAATGTAGTTCATCTCTATATCAGATCCGAGCGAACAGTTTATTACCATTGAATTTAAAGAAGCAATCGATAAGACATTTGTAAAGCGATTGGGAAAGAAATGCGATAAAAATAGTCGAGTTTTTAATAAGTTTAAATACAATATAATGGACTTAAACACTGCACAGAATATACAGAATTGTGCCAAGAATTGTATAAATCAATTGATGTGGTTTGAGTGTTAAATATTGTAATCACTTTATATTTGTTGTGTATTTTTCCTTATAATTTATATTTTTAGTATTAATTTTTTAATATTAGGTTTAATTGTTTTAAACAATTCAGTTATAACTTGATTATAATAAAAATGAAATTTTAAAAAATAGTTTTACTAAAAAACAAACTTTTTTCGACAAAAACTTGTCGTCATTTGGAGGACGTATTGACTGAACGACAGAGTCATTGAAAATTGACTTTAATTTTGATTCAAAATTTGAAAAACTAATGTTTGGTCACAACATGTGATTAATAAACACTTTTTTGTTGACAATTGATTTGAATTACAATTAAAACCATTACTTAATTAATCCATTGAATCAATGCCTGGCTTTGATTGCAATCGTTTTCCCGATCTCTCAGTCTTAGAGGCGTTGTCTTTGGCCGAAGGTTTCAAATGTGGTATTTGTGTGGAAGTGTTGGACAAAGCGGTGGACACTCGATGTGGACATACCTTCTGTGAAGAGTGTCTCAATCAATGGCTCTCAAGACCGCAGACCACCAAAGAGTGTCCCGAATGTCGACAATCACTGGTCAATAGGAAGCGGACCCGAAGTGAGACCAATGATAACAATGGGGTTATAATCGGAGGCAATATTTTGGTGGATAAAAATCGGCGAATAAATGGATTGATAGAGAAATTGAAGATCAAATGTGATTACGAGTGGAACGGATGTCCAGAAGTGTGTCCATTGGAGTCGTTATCCACTCATCTCAAGACATGTGAATACAAAACATGCCAAACATGTGGTCTAACTGTGAGTCCGATAAGTGATGACCACAACTGTATTGAAGGCCTGAAGAAAGACCGAAATGAATGGCAACTGAAATGCAATTTTGCGACACAAAGAGCCAAAAGAATTGAAACACAAACTAAAGAATTGAAAACAAAACTCGAAAAAAGTGTTGAAAAAGCGTTGAATTCGGAGAAAAAATACAAAGAAATGGAAAA